ACGGGATTAGAGAAATGGTACTTGAAGTACCGCGAGTGTCGCTCTGTTGCAAAGCGGCTGTTTAAGAGAGATGAGTAATTTCACGTTGCTCAGACTGAGTCTGCTCTGAATTCAAGCTCAAAAGACTTTTGGAAATCCGTACCCACTCAAAAAAAAAAAAAAAAAAAAAGCGTAGTATTAGTGTTCCTCTCTTACGGGGTAGTTCCGGCTATACATCGAACCCAAATGAACTGGCAGACATGTTTGCTCAGCATTTTATGTCATGCTTCTCTTCTCGAACTAACACGAATTCAGCTCTGAAATGCCCAAATACCTCTGATTTTTTTCCGTTTGTTCCAATAGATGAGCTTGAGATAAATAGATGCATAAGGGGCATGAAGTCGAAGTTATATGCTGGCGCAGACGGAATACCGAGCTTTATTTTAAAGGGATGTGCTCATCTTTTAACTCCGGTGTTGCTTCAAATCTTTAACATGGCGCTACATTCGGGCAGATTCCCGTCTATATGGAAGCACTCAGTGATAGTTCCGATATTTAAATCAGGCGATAACACAATTGTGAGCAACTATCGCCCTGTCTCTTTATTATCTAGTTTCTCTAAAGTTTTTGAGATGACGCTGCATAATCGTCTTTACAAATACTTCCGCCAAAAAATTTGTCCTGAGCAACACGGATTCTTGAAGGGAAAGTTGGTGGAAACAAATTTGTGCACATTTGTAGATTATGCTGTGCCATTTGTTCATGGCCATCAACAAGTATACGTTATCTACTTTGACGTGTCGAAGGCGTTCGACAGGGTCAATCATGATCGGCTCCTACGTAAACTAGATGACTACGGCCTATGTTCAACGCATTGTAATTGGTTTAGAAGCTACCTTAGCGATCGTACAAACCGTGTTCGTGTATCGAGATTTATGTCCAAAACTTTTCTTTCGTCGTCAGGGGTGCCTCAGGGGGAGCAACTTGGGTCCACTTTTGTTTTTAATCTTTGTGAATGACATTATATCTTCGGTAAAAAATTCTAAAGTGCCTTTATTCGCCGAAGATGTAAAGTTGTTTCGTTATGTTAGTTCACATTCTGAATGCACACTTCTTTAAAGCGATTTCGATAACATAGCTAGGTGGTGCTTTAATAATGATCTCCTTCTTAATGAACATAAAACACAGGCTATAGGTCTCTGTAGAAAGCGAAAGCCCCTTGCGTTCAGTTATATCTTAGATGGCGTCGTCATCAAACGAGTGTGTGTTGCTCGTGATCTTGGAGTTTTCATAGATAAGGCATTGAATTTTAATCATCACGTGTCGGTCACATGCAACGCATCACTTAGAAGATTGGGAGCAATTTCACGTTTCACAAGACAATTTTCTTCCTATGTATGTATGTATCGTTCGTTTATTCTGTTTTCAAATTCGCTCAAAACTCGAGCTTGCATCTATAGTGTGGAATTGTATAAATGATACAGCATCTTGCTCTATCGAGCGTGTAGAGAAGCGTCTTACTCGCACCGTTTTCGATCGTTTTTTTGGACGTAAGGTTTATTATAATCAAGATCGGCTGCTCAAGAGACTTGGTTTATGTACTCTGTTTGACCAACGGCGTTGTCGGGATATCTTGTTTTTAAACAAACTTATCAATGGGCTTGTAGATTGTCCTGTCTTGTTAAGCGCTGTATGTTTTCACGCCCCACCACGTTCAAGCCGTAATCGCAGCCTTTTCTATCCATCCACGTTTTTTCACACGTCTCCCCTAATACGAATGGAGCATGATTTTAATAAGTTGGATTGTTCGCTCCTAGAAATATTCAGTGGCAAGTCAACTTTTCGGCGTAATCTAGAGAATATATTGTTTGCATGATCCCAATGTTTTACAAATTTAGGCGTTTTATTTATTTATTTTTTTTTTGGGGGGGGGGGGGGGTTGCTGTATTTGCATTTTCAGTGCCTCTTCTTCTTTTACCTATCTTGCTTGTCAGATGTTGCTATGTGCTCTATGTTTGTTTTGTGAGTTCTTTTTGGGGGGTTAGCTATGTTTTCTCTGTGCTTATTCTTTTCACCTTGTCAGCATTTGCTGTGTACCACACTAAAGGCCATATGCTGTTCGTGGACAGATAAAAATAAAGACTATTTTATATATATATATATATATATATATATATATATATATATATTGTAGGGTTCGGTGCTATTGCTCACCCGCAAGAAGGACCAACGAGGCGGATCTCCGAAAAAACACACCTTTATTTTCTGGTGGCAGCCAACCGACTCCGAGCCCCGAGCCTGGAGCGTGTCTCGCGCGCACGTTGCGCGCCGGGCGCGGAGCGCGAGTTCTCTTTCGCGGTGACGGGCCGCAAAGCCCACAAACTCTCCCCCCCCCTCCTCCCCCCTTCTCTGTCCTCTGGCTCCGTGGCTGTCGTCTGTGGTTGTTATTGGTAGAGGAGGAGGGGGTTGTGACGATGCAGGTGGCCGGATGCGGTTCGTGGAAGCCGCCTCGGGATTGGTGATGCGGTGGTTGCAGTTGCCAATGAAGTCCCGATCTGCATCTTGATGTCGGAGAACTGTGTGTTGTTTTGGTGACGCACTGCTCTCTGCTTGGCCAGGTGGTCCTTCATCTGCACCATGACACAGCCGTTCCTGTTCTTCAGTGATCTTGACGACGTTGCCGTACAGGCAGAGCAGGTTGAAGAGCTTCTCGGCGTTCATCTTGTTAGAGTTGAGGCCGTACAACAGCAGCAGGGACCCCTGATGCGGGTCCACCGCCTGAGGACGAGTGGGTACCCCCGGGGCCGTGGCTGGCAACGTAACGCTCAGGAGGACCTTCGGTGCGGTCCTGGTCTCCGTTGGTCTGCGCCCCGTAGCCGTCGTTTTAGCCGCAGCCGGGGCTGCTGATCTGGCGGCGTAGCTAGGGCCGGTAAAGGGTCCTCGGCTGTCCACTGCGTTGCCGTAGTCCCCGAAACCACGTGGCTCATCGAGGACGTTGAGAGAACCTTCGGCAGCGGTTGGGGCGGTAGCGAGACATGTCGAAGGTTCGAAAAGAACAAAAAAAAAAAAAGAAAATGAATGAACAGCTGTCTTCGGGAAAGGCTTCTACAAGAAATCTTTGGTAACGTTGGGCGCGGCAATAGACTAGCTAAACGAAAAGTGAAAACCTTCTCTGTCTCATAATTTATTTCTCAGTACTCGTATATGATAAAGTCACAAACTTCGCTTAATTTGGAAGGCAATGAAAGGTTCTACAGGTGGTATTATTCTAAAAGCGATACTGAACATAGTCGACTCAAAAAAATCCGCCATTTAGGTCATAATTGTTCGCGGAGGCATCTTTGGGGATTTTTACAAAGATTGGAGCGACGAATAATAAATAGTAGTTGTAATGTCGTTTTACCTACTTGCATATATATCACACTAAAAACATATAGACGCTCTCTTTTGAATACTTTGAGAGTGATTCAATAACGCCACACACGACAATCGTCAAAACCTCGTCGTTCTTTCGCGCTTCTTTGAGATTTTTTTCAGAAACTAAACATATAAGGACATTTATATATATATATATATATATATATATATATATATATATATATATATATATATGAAATTAACTGCGCGGTTTTTAACGGATTAATAAGGGTATTTATGCTGGACGTCGATTAAAACTAATTTAACCCGGTTAATCGCCACCCTTTAATTGATTAATTAATCGATTGATCCTTCTAGTTGATTTCCCTTAATAATATTTGTAAGAGTCAAAATTATATATATATATATATATATATATATCACTTTGACTCTTAAAAATATTATTAAGGAAAATCATCTAGAAGGATCAATCGATTAGTTAATCGATTAGATTGTGTCAATTAACCGGGTTAAATTGGTTTTAATCGACATGCAGCCTTAATACCCTTATTGAGTCCATTAAAAACCGCTCAGTTCATTTTATATTGGAAAACTATCGTCACCCCACTGCCAGCATTTCTACCATGAAAAACATTTCAGGTCTGCCGTTACTAATTCACCGCCGACAACTCGCGTATTTTTCATAAAACATTTCGTCGAAATGCTGCACTTCGTGGAAAAAAAAGAAGAGGACGTCTAAGTGAGCGCCACGTATGTTATTCGCTCCTCCGATTCAGCGCTACTTAGCTCGTTCATTTCGTCACCCGAGATTCACAATCAACAACAAATGATTGCTCTTGTCGTCAGGACCACGGAATATCTACATATGAGCAAGTAGGTCCTCCCGGAATTTCATTTTCGGCCCTTTGAAAATCCGAACCGGGACGCACCCGTTAGGCCTAACCGAAGATAGGATTGCCCAAGTCTATGCGGCGGGCCGCTCAGTCTAACCACGCCTAGGGTCAGCAACTTCAGGTCCCTTCCTGCCCTTGACGGACCCTGCGCCGCCCGAAATGACCTCTCTATCGTCTTCGGACGAATGCAGCACCGACCCAGAAGAAAATTCCGGGTCCCAAATCCCTTCTAAGACGACATGCGTCGCCCAACCCATGGAATATGTCTCGGCCCCGCAAAGCTCAGGTGACTACACATGGACCGACGTAGTCAACCGACGGGTAAAGAAGCAGAAACGTATCGCGGAAGGTGCCGCGGCCGCCGCCCAGGCTGTGGCACAACAATCCCAACCCCCGAAACCGACTGGGAGGCCCGGACGAGCCGGCAAGACCCATCCAACACACCGGCTGCCGCCGCTACCCGTGAATGACCACAAGGTCATTGTACGACCTAGGGACGGCCTCAATTTCACAGTATGGAGCGCCGAAAAAGTCGCTATGGCCTTCATAGACGCAGCCCAGCTCACTGCAGCGGAGATCGACACGGTCAAGATCCGAATACGCCGCGACCAGAATCTCGTCGAGGTCAGCACCCTTAAGACCGAGGTCGCGGTCAGGGTGTAAGAGCTTCCCGCTATCACAATCAACGGCCGCCAATACGAAATCCTTGCTTACATCGCTTTGCCGGATAATTCATGCCGAGGAGTGATCATGGGTTTGGATTCGAGACCGACGTCCGAGATTCTTTCTACGAGAATACGAGCGCAGGGAGTCAAGGTCCTATGCGCACGGATGATGGGCCAAACAAACACGGCCATTATCAACTTTGAGGGACTGAAGGTTCCCTACTACGTGTACTTCAGGGGCGCCGAATACCGGTACCTACCACACCGACCCCGAGAACAAATATGCACCGCCTGCTTGGGCCTGGGACACCGCGTGGATGTTTGCCCACATCCCGAGGAGAACAAATGCTGCAGATGCGGCAAACCCGGAACAGCGGACCAAGAGCACGACTGCCACGAAAAATGTGTCAACTGCGGTGGGTCGCATCCAGCCACCGACCCAAAGTGTCCGGCAAGACAGCGGGGGCCTCTCAACAAGGCTCACGTTCGTCGCCAGCTAAACCACCAACCTCCAGTACAACGCAGGCCTCTGACGGGACTGGTAGGACCGCGTCAGAAGCCATCTTCGGCGTCAACCAAGGTAGAGCATCCGCAACCCAGACCACGGCCGAGCCACAACCCAATGGCGCGCGAGGAATTCGCGTCCATCACGGATCCCACACCTGCGGAAGCAGCTGCGATGGAACAAGGACCGGCGCCGAACCCTAAGAAGCGGAACCGAAATCCCCCTGAATCACCAGGTCAACCACCAGCCGTCCCGGCAGCTGAGCTCTCCGATCCGAGCGAGCCCGCGAGTAAAGTAAGGTTGACGGAGCCTCACCCCTTCAAACCCACACCTTCGCTCACACCGCCACCCTCCACACCCCCTGAACCCAGCCCCACATCAGAATGCGAGCTTACCCCCTTAAAGGCACAAGCGACGTCAGACCAAACCCTAGAAAAGCTCAGAGAAGAATCCAACGCCAAGTTGAAGGCGCTCCAAGCCGAGATGATGGGTGAGCTTGACAGGCGAGTCTGTGAGCTGGCCAAGGTCATCCACAATGACGTACAAGCTCAGATGCGTAGCTTTGCGGAAGAAATCATCTCACAACAAGAGTCTCGCTTCCAGCAGATGATACAACCCCTCATCCAGCCCTTGATGAAGCAGCTGGCAGAACTCACAGCTCAGTTGCGCCAAATCGCGCCATCCAGAATCATGGTCCCCATTTCCAACGAGTCCGTGGTCGCCATCACAAGTAACACCGCACCCACACCAACAACGGTCAACGCGAAAATCCTGCCCAACCCCACGACCCAGGAGCCCCCTGGCACACCTCAGATCCAATATGGCAAGCCAAAAACCGACAGCCCATTCATCATCAACCCTAACCCCGTCCGAGAAACAAACAACAACAATATGGCAATGGAATTGTAGAGGGTACAGGCGCAAGCGCGGCGCAAGCACGGCGCTCTCATGCATTACATCGGCACAAGAGACTTTGCACCGGATATTATCGCACTACAAGAGCCAAACTGTCCTCCGAGCCTCTCTGGATATACAATGTTCATGCAAATGGATAGCGGCCCGGAGGCTCCACTGTACAGAGCGGCAACCCTCGTCGCAAAACACATCTCCGTCATAAACCATTCCTTCGAGCAGCATAGACATATACACCACACATTACTCGAAATCCTACCCAAGAAAAAGACGCTTCCCAGTTTCTTCGTGCTCAACGTCTATAGCTCCCCAAGCCAGAAGGCCGATGACTTCAGAGCCCTCTTCCAAGATGCGATCCAAGTTGTTCAGCCCCGAACAAGCTCCCTAGTGATCGTGGGCGACTTCAATGCGGCCCACCCGACCTGGGGATATGTGAAGGAGAACCCCAAGGGACGCAGGTTAGCACAAGCCATCGCCAACAATCACCTTACCATCATGACAGAACCGGAACACCCCACAAGAATGGGCAACAGCGTTAGTCGCGACACGTGCCCAGACTTAACCCTAGTCCGCACGCAGACCTCGCGTAGCTGGTCCAACCTGGACGAAACGCTGGGAAGTGACCACTACATCCTGGAGACCGAGGTGTGCGATGGAGGCCGTAGAACACGAAAGCTTCGACCCGCTCGACTCACGAACTGGGACCAGTTCAGACAACAGCGAGGGAGCACCGAGAGCGGAGACATTATCTCCATCCAGGAGTGGACCCAACGGCTCCTTGAAGGCATTGATCGAGCAACCAAGAAAGTCAATACTACCATCGACACCCCAGCGATAGACCCCCATCTCCTCCACATGTGGGACGCCCGGCGAGGACTCACCAAGCGGTGGAAGACGCAGAGATTCAACCGCAAGCTGCGACTGCGCATCGCCGAGCTCAACCAAAAGGCGGAAGACTACGCAACCACCTTGGCGGAAAGCAATTGAACCAACTATGCCACGGGCTGCGTGGTACGCTTGGGACCGCTAAGACTTGGGCAATGCTCCGATCCTTGCTGGACCCATCGCGCTCCAAGACTGAGACATCCAAGGCCGTGACCAAACTTCTGCACGGACTGCAGCGGGACGAACCCTCCATCGTGAAGGAACTAGAATCCCGATACCTCGCAGCCGGCCCACGCCCCGACTGTGCAGAGTACTCCTACACGGAAGAGCCGAGCCAGCTAGACGCAGACTTCACCGAATCGGAGATACAAGCTGTCCTCACCAAGCTTACGCGCACCACAACCCCGGGGAAAGACGGAGTCACATACAAAATGCTGCACAACCTCGACGACGCTTCCATTACGGCGCTCACCCGATATTTCAACGAGGTCTGGAGGACAGGAAGAATCCCGGAGGAATGGAAACACGCGGACATTTCACTTATCCCTAAGCCTGGCAAGCCACTGGGACTTCAAAACATACGACCCATTTCGCTCACGTCTTGTGTGGGGAAGCTCATGGAACACGTCGTCTTGTCACGACTACAACCATATCTCGAGGAACAAGAGTACTTTGCGGACACCATGTATGGATTCCGACCACGCCTCTCCACGCAAGATGTCCTCCTCCAACTAAAGGAAGAGGTCCTGGACTCTCAAAGCCAAGCCCAGGCGAGGGCGGTGCTAGCCATCGACCTCAAGGGGGCTTTCGATAATGTCTCGCACGATGCTATTCTACGCAACCTCACCGAGACCCACTGCGGTACAAGGGCATACAACTATGTGCGATCCTTTCTTATGGATCGAACCGCCACCCTGGGGATTGGTGACATCCGCTCGGACCCCATTCGTCTAACAGGACGAGGGACACCTCAGGGATCAGTTGTATCGCCCTTGCTGTTCAACGTGGCAATGGCAGGCCTCCCGCACAAACTCAACAAAATCCCGCACTTGCGACACGCCCTCTACGCCGACGATATCACGGTGTGGACCACCACAGGGTCGGAGGGAGAAATCCAAGAGAGACTGCAAGAAGCAGTCAACGTCACCCAAGACTACGCGGGAGTGGCAGGGCTAACCTGCGCAAGTGAAAAATCCGAGCTCCTGGTGATCCGAAAACGCTCAGTACTGAACAAACACGCGCCGACCATCGACCTTACGCTAGGAAATACACCTATACCCCGGGTAGAGCGCCTACGAATCCTTGGCATGTACCTCCAAAACCACGGCGGAGCACGACACACCGTGGAGCGCCTGCGCAGACATGCCGACCAAATAGCCCACCTCATTTGACGGGTGTCTAATCGGAAAGGGGGGCTCAGTGAACAGGATACGCTGCGAATCTATCAAGCCCTCATTGTGAGCCGGTTCACATATCCATGTGCCCTTTCACAACTTCACAATCACCGAAATGGAGTGGCTAAACACCTCGCTCCGCAAGGCGATCAAGACAGCCCTTGGTCTACCAATAAGTACGTCAACGAAGCGACTCCTGATGCAGGGGGTCCACAACACGGTGGAAGAGCTAGTCGAAGCGCAAAAAACAGGACAGCTCACACGCCTCAGCGCCACCCGAACCGGCCGAGCAACGCTGCACAGACTTGGCTACACCAATCTCACGCAGGAAGAACCAGCCGCCCCAGTGCGCCTGAAACCGGATATCCTGAACCGCGTACAGGCGGCATCATCCCTAAGAACATGCACCCAGACCTCCACACAGGGCGGAGAGAGGCCAGGATCCGGGCCTTAGAGAAAGTCTACGGCCCAGACCCACAAACATGGTATACAGATGCTGCTCTCCACAGGGAAAGAGCTGGAGCAGCAACCATCGCAGTGACAGACAGAGACGGCACCTGCTACAGCACGGGCTCCATCTCAAACGTCGCATCAACCCAGGAGGCGGAGGAGATGGCCATAGCGCTGGCCATCTCACACGCAATCCCACGCAGAGACACCACCGACCTCAAGCATAAGATAACTATCGTCACCGACTCGCAAGCAGCGTGCAGAGCGTTTGCGGGCAACACCCTCTACCCACGGACAGCACACCTCATCAACGCCATAAGAACCGAATGGTTACAAATACCGGTCATCCGGATCATCTGGACCCCTGCACATCTGGGCTTATCCGGCAACGAAAGTGCTCACGCACTAGCCCGAGCGGTAGCGACAAACCGGGCTTTGTCGGATGGGATCAGGATACAGCGGGACCCAGAGCCAAACACATCCGCGGACTCCCAGTCCCTCCGCACTCCAACCGACACACACCTTAACACCTACCATCTGGTAACAGAATACTACCGAACAACCCGGTGGGTCCTGCCCCCTCCGCATCGTGCGCTATCCCGGGCAGAGGCAGCGGACTGGCGACAACTTCAAACGTTTACGTTCCCTAACGTCCACCAGCGACATCGCTGGTTCCCCAACCGGTACCCAGGCACCTGTCCGGGATGTGGCAGCGATCACCCTAATCTGTACCACTCCATCTGGGAATGCCGTCACCCCCTCGGTGAGGGTATCACCCCCCTTCCTTCCCCCACCTGTTCCTCCTGGGAGGCGGCCCTTTCCGGCAAAGAGCTCGATGACCAGCAGCGACTGGTTGAGCGAGCCCGCCGAATCTGGGCGGCCAACGGAGCCCTGGACTGAGGGCACCGACCAGAGACCGCAAGGTCCTTTCACTTTATCAATTAATAAAGTTTACGATGATGATTATGATGATCCACTTCGTCATAAACTAAGTACTCCGTCTTTCTACATATCTGCCCGCAGTGATCATAGTCATAACGTTGGTATTCCAAATTTGAAAACTTCGTTATTTCAATATTCATTTATGCCTCAAACACCGATAGACTTGAACAACCTTCCCATCTCGATTGCTAACATCAACAAGAGCTGATGTTAGCAATCAGTGATCAGTAATGCAGCAGCATATGTACAAGCGCCCTGTGTTGTATCGTTTCGTCTTTGTCCTCACCTTTTTTCGGCGCTCTTACATCTGAAAACTATGAACCAACTGCTGTCTAAAAAATGCCCGTGCGTCTAGTTTCCCGCACAACACCCGTAGGGCCAATCACCGGAACTTAACGGAGGCAGCTTAGCGAATGACGATGCCGAAACATATGTTTATACCAAAAAGCGAAGTCTGAGTTACTTAATGTCACAACTCAAACTGCGTTTTTTAGTCTAAACATATGTTTCGGCATCGTCATTCGCTAAGCTGCCTCCGTAAGTTTCTGGGATTGGAGTTCCGAGTGTTGTGCGGGAAAGTAGACGCACGGGCTCTTTTTAGAGTGGGCCCAACTATCCACTTTGCCTCTAACATCAGATCACTAATATTGTTTTGTTTAAACATGCTATTACTAATATGTGCACTTTGTGGTTAGCATTTTATAGTTCTTTCCCCTCTCCAATGCGCTTACCTTCAGGGTGTTTGATGTAAATAAGTAAATAAATACACGAATAAATAAATACATAAATAAATAAATAATTTCATCAGTACGGTTCATTCTTTAACATATTTCGATTATTTACTCTTTAAACAGCTGGAGGAGATGCAACCACTATGCACCACTGTTATAGACAGGGTATTCCGAGAAACGCCAACTGAAACATTCGTGTAGAGTCTACGCGTAAAATCTTTAAATAAATAGGATTAAGCACTGTCGAGGAGCCTACTTATTGAGGTATGTAGCGTTTAAGTAAATTGACTTCTACAAAACCGTATTCCAGAGTTAACATTTCTATTGGCAAAAATAAGCATATACTGGGCCACTCATAAAATTCTTCTTATTGGCGGCAAAAAAAAAAAAAAAAGTTTCAAATTTTGCGTTAAGAGATATGCGCACGACCTTGTAGTATATGTATCGAAAAGTTCAATATGTTTTTCTCACAATACCAAATGATTTCCGCATACCCAATTATTTGCAATGTATGAAGGTCCGCGCCTACAGCGTTCCGGACTGCTCACGCCCACGCAAAAACAACGCCGAAAACAAATTTGCAACAGAAATGTAG